GAGCACTTCCCTGCCATGTGCAGTCCTGGGTTCAACCCCCAGCCTTGCAAGGTAAGAAAAACACAACGTGACAATATAACAATAAATACAGTTCTGATGGGTATTTTTCACGGCTGTAGGGGTTTCAGCTCTCTTTCTAGGATCACCTCTGGTTACTGGTGCTTTTCTAGTAATTGGCCTGTTTTATCTATTGAAGTTTTCAAGTTCTCACAGGCATCAAACGATCCCTGTGTGCCCCAGGTTTCTATTTCGGTTGGCTGTTTTGTCTGTAACCACCTTTCCGGGCCTCACCGGCCTCACGGGCGTCTTTCTTCTTGCTCCATCTCTCTCATATTTTTCTACTTCAAAGAATAAACTTTGACGCCTCTGTTCTAGCCTCGGAGCAATTCAGCTCGGTCCTCTGTGAACATGCACTTCTGTGAACGCGTGAGCAAGCCAAAAGTGACACGAAGAAGGGAGTGGCCACGGCTCCCTCGGGTAAGAGATGCTCTGTTCGGCCAGGGTTCTGCCCTCCTCCCCGAGCTGTTTAAAATCTCTGAGACCCAGGTCTTAGGTTGATCGACCAGAAGCAGCACCACAGGCTGATGCAGCTGAGGCCACTCTGCAGACAGCTCTGAATTGTAACTGGATTTAACTCCTGTCTTCTCTACAGAATGAACATGTGTGCAGCAGGCTTCCTATTCCTCGCAGATCCCACAGGACAAGATTTCCTCTTGTTTTGGTCCCAGTTTGTTTATTAAGGAAGATGGGTCATTTACTACATCTGAAATCCGCCCCAAAGAATAAACCTCAGGCATACTATACACACAGACTCATACGTACACACTCACACGCATGTTCTCTCTCACACACATTCATACATACACACACACATACTCTCTCATACATATATGTTCATGCATACACTCACACGCACATGCTCTCACGCACATACACACACACTCATACGTACATACTTTCGCATGCACACATGCTCTCTATCTCTCACACACGCATGCACACACACGCATGCAGCCACACACACACATGCTCTCACACAGTCACACATACACACTCTCACACACATGCTCTCTCTCCCCCCACATATGTATATATGCACATGCATGTGCATGCACGCACACACACACAGGGCAGAGAAAGCAGGAATAGCTCTTAGCACATTCTTCCATGCGGGGCGGAAGCTTTCCAAAGCCGCTAATTCTCTGTTAGAGACTACAGAGCATTGTGACGGGGAGCTGGAATGTTGCAGAATGAAAGCCAAATTACTCTGAACTATCAGGTTCTTTAGATAAACGGCAACTTACCTTTAACACTCATGATCGTTGCTAAGTTTAGCAGCTTAGCTTCCATCAACCCGAATGCTAAGCATACTCTACGAATGTCTGAAACCTCTAGAAAGACTTCCTTCCCCATTGCCTGTTGCCCACCTACCTGAGAATCCACACCTGATTTGCTGAATCACTGATGTATGGCTCTCTTGCCCATTGGCAATACCAGTGCATGTTCTCGTTCTCTCTCTCTCTCTCTCTCTCTCTCTCTCTCTCTCTCTCTCTCATGATGGAGCAGGTCATTCCATAGCGAATGCCATCTTGACCTTGGTCACTCATCTTTGCCCCAAAATAGACTGTATCCTTACTCCCTTTAAAGCAAGAGTGAAATAAGTTCTGCTGATTCAGGTGAAGGAGGCCTCATAGCCTAAAATAATGTGAGGAGCCAAGTTTGAAGCATCGGCAGAAGCATAACCAGATCTGCCAGTACAGCCCAGCCACAATGGGCACAGGTTTCCGGTGGTTGTATTTAATACTCCTACTTTACGAGGCTGGGACCAAAACACATTGTAAGAGGTACCAAAAACCTCAGTAGTCTCCAATGGCACATTCTCACTCGGTACCAATACCCAGGACATTCAGAGGCTTTTGCAAGATGCAGGGGCCGCACACGCTGCCAGAACAGCAGAGAACTGAACTTGGACAAGAACAGCTATGGCAACAGGGTCAAGGCCAACAAACTGCACACTGTGGAAATGGAATGAGGCATTGCAGCCCTGAGCATTATGCTGGGGCGTGGTCCTACTGTCTCTGTGATTTCTGTCTGCTCCAGAAGTCCCTGGGACAAGATGGAGAGGATGGTGATGGGAGAGAGTCATGCAGAGGTTCGTGTCTTAGATCAGCACCGCCCACTGCTCTGCCCTTTACAGACCCAGAGGGCCAGGGTGGACCACAGACACACAGTACATCTGGCAGCCACATGCCTGAGTCTCCTGAGTGCAGCACCTGCTCCGAGAACTGAGCCCAGTCTTCCCCTTGCCTGGCACCCTCAGTTACAGCCTCTTTTCCAGGGAAGGGAGAAACCGAGATCTCCAAATCCCTGGTAGTTCACCCCACTGCGTCCAGAACGTGCCTGGACACTGCTCTCCCCTTACCCAACCCATGTTTCCTACTTGTGCCAGGGACCTTGGCTTTCTGGTTCTCATGCTTGCCGTGGCTCAAGACCGTCCCCGAGCAGCCATGCAGGAACAGTTCAGCCTCCTGATCTACTCTGAGCTGAGAACACAGGAGGTCTTAATAAGCCGTACACACTATGGTGACCCACTGCGGTCCTTGCCTATGCTCCTCCCCTGAGGTTCCACCAGCTCAGCCCTTCTGAAGGCTCTTCTACCATTCCCTGCTGATGATGCGGAACCACCTACCACCACCGCCATCCAGTCCATGGGGACTGGAGGTCCCCTCATCTGCCTTCCTCACCCATAGGGCTGCAAATGGCCTTGATCCTGAGGCTGCTACAAAACCAAGAGAGGTGACGCACTCAAGCAGCGACACTAGTCACAAGAGCTAAGACAGGAAAGCAGCCTCAGTGACTGCCAGTAGCTGGAGGGATACGGAATATGAATATTATTCAGCCATGGAGTAGGACACAATCATGCCATCTGCAAAATGAATGGGACCAGAGGACATGAGGCTGAGCTAAATAGACCCACGCTCATACACAGAAGCTAAAACAAGCCAACACAGTGTAGAATAGCAACAGCCAGAGTATGGGAGCAGCGTTACAGATGAAGGTTGGGTAATAGGTGCCGAAGCACAGCGAGGACTATATTCTGGGGTTCCCAGCAGGGTGGAGTGGCTTTATCACAACCTACTGTGCATTTTAGGAAAAACTAGCAGAAAAGAGTGCAATGGGATAAAAAAATAGCCAGGAAGGAAATGTTAATTGTCCTGAGTTGATTGGTGCAAACTGCATGTGCATGCTGAAATATCACACTGCACCTCTAAATCAGCATACCTGATTAATACATACTAATCAAAATAAAATTAAATTACAGCTAAGTAAAAATAAAATTACCTCCATAGCCTTAAAGAAAAGCTAGGAAAGGAAAAAGGCTATAAGCACGGAAAGCAATAGAAAATGCAGGGAAGATAAGAGAGAAATGAAATCAGACAAAAGCCAAGGACGTAGGAAAACACTGAGCAGCAGATGAAAATGAGAGGCAGCCACGGGCTTCTTCACAAACACACACGAGCACAGCCCACACTGAAGCCTGCTGCTCCAGCCCTGCAGGATACTGTTAGCTCTGAGACAAGAAGATTTCCTGAGGATTCACTTCTCGACCTTGTGAAGCTAATAACGCCAGGGGCAGGCTGGGCCCGGTGGCGCGTGACGACGCTTCCAGCATCTGGGAGGCCGAAGCTGGGAGAGATGAAGAGCTCAAGGCTTGAGCTGCACATCGAAATCCTGGATCCAAGGTAAAAAAAAAAAAGCCTCATTCAAGAAATTCTTACAGAGTACCATGGAACTCTCAATACCAGTATGATGGCTCTAGAAGCCAAGGAAAAAGCCTGTGAAGATGTCTGATCCACATATTCATACATACGGTATACAACAATATCCGTGTGCACATGGACATGCACACATGCATGCACAAATGCCTACACATGGATATACACACAAACACATATACATATCCAGACATTCCCACAGCTCCATATGCACCCGTGTGTACAAATGCAAATGCACAGACATCCACCGACGCATTTCTACGGGTATGGACACACCCATGCACACAAACGCACACCACCCTCCACATGCCCAACCATGTGTCCGCGCACTCATTAGCACACACGGTCTAAAAATACTTATGTGATTTATTCTTCAATTAGATCCAAACTTTGCTATAAATACTACATTGCATTACAGTGTCTAGACATTTGAAGAAATGTTTTAAAATTAACAGTGGGTGTAATAATATCTTTTATTGATAAGGAAGGAAAAAACGGTTGAGAAATGAGTACTCTGTCCATAGCCTGAACACCCACTATGAGACTTTAGCAAGAGGTACACAGAGTACCTATGAGCCCCAAGCCTAGATAAGAGTCTGGCTTCTTCTAGCAAAGGCACCCGTGGTACACCAAGCCTCACTCCTAGGCTTCCTTGAGTCACTCTTACTCACCCAATGGGCTCAGTTTCCTCCCTCCACCAGACAAGGACACACAGGTGACGAACCACAGGAGACAAAGGGGCTGATGTGGGGTGCCCTCCTAGCCTACTTCATCTGCAGAATAGGGTGACAGTTACACTGTCTCACAGGAAGGACGCTGAATGCCTAAGAGCAGAGGGTCAGGGCCAGCTGCACATTCATATTCAGCTGAGGTGTGCCCAGGACCCATCTCACCCTCCCAAGCCTGGCTCATCACACTACAGATGCATCAGAAAGATAAGAGACACCCACATGCCACCCCATGGCCACCCACGGCTTACAAGTAGTTCAGCTGCTTCAGAGAAGCAAGCCACGGCTGTCTGTTCATCACATCCTCTCTTCCCGACACCACCACGAAACACTGAGCATTACAACCTTGCCCTTAAAGGGTAGACTGAGGCTCACAGCGAGAAGAGGCAGGCACCTTACAGCCACAACTGCCCTTAGTCAGATAATGTCGAAACCCAGCAAAACTGGGAGAGAGACAGAGGTGACCAAAGGACCACCTCACACTGAACACACTGACCTGCTTCTCGTTCTCATCCTCCAGCCGCAGTCGGTCCTCGATGCAGCTTCGAGCCTGCAGAAAGGCCTTCCTCTGTGAGCGCTCCGTCAAGATGCGCACGAAGACGCCATACATGTTCACGCCCACGAAGAGCAGGGCATTGGCACCAAGCTGTGGGAGAGAGAGAACAGTGGCAGAGTGTTGAGTTCAGACCACTCAGGGGCAGGAGGACCCGGGTCACCACGGAAGCCACCAAGGGGACTCTCCGTCAACCCCTCAGCCAGCTCCAGACTCACAGCCACCCAGGGACATTCAAGCCCTGCCCAGACCCACAGTGAAACACCGTGGGAGCCACACATGGCGGAAACACACTTCTGCCTTCCCAACAGACAGTGATGCCACAGCAGATCATGGGATTGAGGGAGAGCTCCATCTATACCCCGGGCTGAATTTTATTTCCTCCCAATTTTGTATGTCAAAACATTGAGGCTGGACGACCTCAGGATGTAGTTGTATTTAGAAACAGGTTATTAAAAGAGGTAATTAAAGTAAAATGAGATCATAAGGGTGAACTCCGATCCGGCCTGACCAATAAGAAGAGACCAGGATGCAGGACTGTGAGAGACCCCGAGGAGCCAGTCCTACCCCCACCCAGATTGTAGATCCCAGCCTCCAGCACCACGAGAAAAGACATTTCTGTTATATAAACCATCATCCCCAACTCTGTGGCACTCTGTTATGACAGTCCCGTACAAACAACACACCTACAACATAAGAATATGAAATGGCTGCTTTCAACACTACATGGAACACCCTAGAAAGATTCAGAGGAGTTAAGGAGACAAAAATAAAACTCGAGTCATTGATTCGGGCACAGAGTAAACTGTAGCACAAGCAGAGTAGGCCCCGCTCTGTAAACAACCCCTTCCACCACGCTTGCCAGGCCCTGACCTGGTTCTAGTCAAGACTCCACAGGAACAGAGACTTCACAGATACTGGCCATGGCCAAAGAACTCAGCTCAGATCCCAAACATCAACTGTGAATACCTTCTCCTGACAGTCTCTATCCCCTGCCTGTCCCAGGTCCTAGCGGACCACAGGACCAGAGTTTGTCATGAGTCACATCATGGCAGCCCCCCCAGAACAGGGGACACTCATCCAGCCCAAGGAAATGTGGGTCTGTCAGCGGCCAAGGTGTGGAATTTCTATCTGATTAACAAGGCATTCCCACTTCTACATGAGGGAGGAGGAGAATGCAGACTTGGAATGTTCCTGCTCCTCAGAGATAATCCCTAAGGAGTCGGGACATGGCTGTGCCACACTCTACACACAGAGAGCAAGGTCAGTAAGCACAGCAAAAGCTGGAGCAAGCATCTCCTAACAGCTGCCAGGAGAGCCTGGGGAGATGTCCTAACCAGGAGTGGGCCTGAGACAGCCCTGGGACAAGATCTGTCAGGCCCTGACACTCCCTAATGCTGACTGGGAATAAGTGGGAGATCCAGCCTGGGAAACCATAGGGGACAGATCTGGGCATCAGACAGGGATCTGGGCATCTTCAAACTCAGGTTGTGCGAGATGACATCTTTGAAAGTCAACTGAAACAAGGACCAGACCTGGGGACTCTCTTAACAAAGCACCCAGGTCTCACGAGTGGTCTTAACCTTGACTTGATGTGCAAGCACAGGAAGCCCGAAGCCGAGTTGTTTCTTGCAAAAGCCTTTAATAATGGAAACTAGAGCCAAAGCTCAAGCAATGGAAGCAACTGTTCATTCAGAGGTTTACTGCACGGACCTTCCTGGGGTCGCATCTATGAAGGTGATGGTGAGAGTATGGCCAGGCAAGTTCTTTGATTTGCTTTTGCCATCATCCTGTGACTACTGACACTCCAGGCTTTGTCATCGAACACTAGACCCCTTCTGGCTTGGTACCCACCTCCAAATTCATGAATCCCATTATGCATCTCATAATCATTTAAACCAGTAGTGGTCACCTGTACCCTAGGAACACATCGAAGAGAGCATTCCCTGTAACCCTGACTTTACCACATGACCCCAAAGGGTCTCACTGTGACCCGGAATTCATGGAACTTGCTAAGGATGAGAACGAGCGAGTCCCTCTTTGTCCTCAGTCGCTAACCTCGACCCTCACCCCGCTGTGTGTTACTTCCTCTTGGAATAACTGGACCCACTGACTGGCCCACGTGCTCAGCGCTACAGGCTATTCCAAGCCGTTTCACTGTCGTTAAGTACACCAGGCGATTGCTCAAGCAGGTGGTGCTCCAGGGGTTGGAAGACAGAGACCACAGCCAAAGAGCAGAATATGTGCAAAGCATGTGAGGTCACATGACACAAACAGCAAAGACAACTAGCGTCAGCACCTCCCAGAGAGGGCAGCAGAGTTCTCTGGAAAACACATAGTGGGGGAACCGATGGTATAGGGCTCATGGTTACTTCAGTCTAAGATCCAGGCCTGCTGCTGTTTGAAGGGCTTGCAGAACCCTGAGCAAGGCTTGTCACCGTCTATCAAACCTTCTAAAGCCACCAGTCCCAAAAGCAAAACTAGAACTCAGGGCTAAAGTCACATCTCTAGATCTGAACACTGAGCAGACAGGACATCTGGACCCTCAGCACATACTGGGTTGGACATCACAGCCATTACAAAGGTGACCCTGTATGAGATGCTCAGGGCCACATGGAGATATCAATGGTATAGCCTCTCCCTCCCCTTGCCTTCAACACAGAACAAAATCCAAGGCTGAAGTGTTGAGAGACCAGGCAGGTGGTCATCTTTCAGGACAACATAACACGCTGAGCACTAATGGAAGATCTGACCAGTCCCTGAACAGTATGGCGGTCTACAGTAGGCCAAGGCCGGAGGAATGAGCCAGGCTAACAGCTGAGCTGGTGAGCCCCAGAGAAGGGCCTCAACAAGAGGCTACTTCCACCTTTTAAAGGAAGTGAAAGTCAGGCAGACACACCCCTTAAGTAGAAACTACAGCAAAAGCCTCCCTTCTGAGATCTGCCCACGCTGGAGCTTCTTTCCTCCCGTGACATCCGCTGAGAATGTGTGGGCCCAGATTGTGGGTATGATTGGGAGTGGAGGGAAGAGGTAAGAACTGGTGCACTCACCTGTCAGTGTGCTAGGCTTCATGAACTAGCCCTTCTTCCACACACGCACCAGAGCCCTTGTATATGGAGTGGGAAGCTGTGGGGGCTGTTAGACAGTCTGGCTGCCCATCTCCACAAAGTACAGGGGTAGCCCTGGGAGCCCCCCGGCTTCTCGGTATCCCTGGTCAGAAGTGAGAAGCTCCCCTCTCCATGTCCACTAGCTAAAAGTCTGCCCGCTCCAGAAGAGAAGTATATCCAGCCACCCTGAGGACATCTAAAAGGCTGTGTCCTCAGTGAAGTCAAAATTCTACAAGATGCCGTCCTCCTGCGGGCCCCTCCAAGGGAAAGTGGTCAGTGGATCAAACAGCCTGTCCCCCACAGACAGCACTGTGGAGAAGGGTTTGTGGGAGGGAAGTGGCCCCCCAGAAAGAGTAAGGGACATCTGATAAGTACCTCTCACCTGCCCAGGTCTGCCCCACCTCGCTAACCCCTGAACTCCTGCTACAAAAGCATTCAATAACGCAAACCCACCACCCATGTTATCCATGGGTAGTGATTCTCAGTTCTCCCCATGAAGCTCTCTCTTCTGGCCAAAGTGGGAACACATTCCCCAGTACATGAAGCTGACGATGTGGCTGAGTGCCTGCTCATAATGGTAAGAGGAAGGTGGTTTAGGGTCATCATGAGCTGACCAGAGACCGAGGAGCCACAGGCTATCGGATCTCCACAGGGGAGCTGCCTAGCTCCCATTCTACCTCCATACTCCCGACGGCATCCTGACCTATGGCCGCCACTGACCACAGCGGCATTGAGGCAGTGTATGGCCCAGGCTCCTGGTCTTTGTGTGTTCTCTCTGGCCGTCCTCCCAGTCATGTGTGCCCTTTTAAATTATCTCTCCTGTTTAGCTGCAACTGCTTCCCTTCTGATTCCCTCTAAGATTCTGAGTCTTGACACTGGGCTCCACAGCTCTTTCAGGAGTGGGTGTGGCAAGGGTGGGTGTAATGCTCAAGGCGTCGCAACTAGTCTTGTGCTTCCAAAAGCCCCAATCTCGCCATACACACACGCACACTCCACACCACACACAATGATCATGCTAATCTCACAGAATGTCATCGATATTCCTCATGAACCCCACCCTGTCAGGCAGACGTTCGCGCATGGCACGGCAGGGCTAACAGGGTCTGTGGGAACAGGGCCAGCACCAATAACTGCTCCACATTGTCCTTGCATCTCCAGCTCACTCTGTGCCACTGACCCCATTCTTCAGTCAGAAACAATAAGGGCAAGGAAGAAAACAGGGCTTCCCAGGGACGATAACACGTGCACAATCCCCTGCAGTGGCCCCTGCCTGAATGACGCCCCAGTCGTGGGGGCAGACCCTGCATCCAAACCAGTGTCCACCTCACAGAAATCAGAAGCAAACTAGCAACAAGGAATCACTCACCTCCCCATCAAGATGCAGGGCAGACTGGCGTCAAACCCAGAGGACCAGCTGCAAATCAGTTCATGGCCTCTCTATGGTCCCTGATTGGTGAGGCGGAACCCAAAGCAGAAGGATCTCCCAGGAACCCAGGATCCCTCCTAACATTCTACACATGCAGCAGGTTCCAAGAAAGAGACCAGGAGCAACATCAACATATGCTTGCCCGGCATGCTCAAAACATCACCAGAGCCAGCTCTCACAGTACAGGAGGGGGTTATGTCCCAGCAAAAGAGTTGGGGCTGTCCATGGGTGACATGCTACAGTCAGAGGTATCGGGATGAACTTGTGTTCAGCTTAACTCAGAAGCAGATGGGCTCAAACACAATATTTACAGGGATGTGTACACTTGTGACTCTGTTGGCACTGCTGACAGAAGCAGCGGGGTCCCAGGAACAACAAGGGTACCCAGAGCCCAGACGGTGGTTTCTAATAAGAACCTCTGAGAGAAACTAGACCTCAGCCAGGTGTGGTGGTATATACCTGTGATCCCAGCATTCAGGAGACTGAGGCAGGAGAATGGTAATTCAAGGCCAATCCGGGCTATAGTGAGACCCTATGTCAAACAACAAGAAAGGGCCCCT